CCCTAGTTCTCCCCCACTTCGCCTATGGGGGTGTGTCAAACATTATATATGTTGTTGTAGTTGTTTAGGCTACAGTGGGTTAGCCTATAGGGGGTACACATTCCTAGGTTTTGATACTTGTACTCATTTCACTCATAGTTCATTCATTCTTGTTCAACAGGTGCTCCCTCGGCGGATGCGTCGCTCTCCTTCACACTGGACTCCGGAGCGACGCAGTGCTTCTTCCGCGACAGCACAACTCTTACTCCACTCTCGGCGCCGGTTTCTGTAGCACTGGCCGATCCCTCTTCGGGACCGGTCATTGCGACTCACGCCACTACCCTCCCGTGCCCAGCTGCCCCTTTCGGTTCTCTGACCGGCCTCCACGTTCCTACTTTCTCTAGGAACCTGGTTGGTGTGGCTCCTCTGGCGAGACAGCACGTCGGGGTCTGGTTTGAGCCTTCGGGTGACACTGCAGTCTGTGTGGACGGTGACACGTACGCCCCTCTGGCCACTCTTCGTCAGGAGCCGGGCTCTGGTCTGTACACCCTCCACACCGACACCCGTCCGGTTCCCCCGTCCCACCAGGTAGCCAGGTCCAGTCAGGTAGCTGTGCCAGGTCTAGTGGCTGCGTCGTGCTCGTGTCGGTCGCCGTCCCACCCTGCCCTCCTCTGGCACCACCGCCTTGGTCACCCGTCCCTCTCTCGTCTCTGCGCTATGTCAAGTCAGCGTCTTGTCTTAGGCCTCCCCCGCGACCTCCCGCCGCTCCTGCCGTCCCTCGCTCCTCCGTGCGGTCCTTGTGTCTAGGGTCGGCTGCGCGCCACTCCTCACTCCTCCTCCCTTCGTCCAGCCTCCGAGCCCTTTGAGACACTCCACTTTGACGACTGGGGCCCCGCTCCACGGCTTGGACCTGAGCGAGAGAGCTTCTTCCTAGTGGTCGTTGACGACTACTCTCGGTACACCACCGTGTTCCCTTTGGCGAAGAAGTCCGACGTGACTTCTATGCTGATCCGGTGGCTGCTCGCCACCGAGAGTACTCGTCGTCGTCGTGTCAGTTGTCTCCACTCCGACCGTGGGGGTGAGTTTCGCTCCGGCATTCTCGCCAGATTCTGTGCTGAGCAGGGCATCACCCAGTCCTGGACTCTTCCAGACTCTCCACAGCAGAATGGGGTTGCTGAGCGCCGGCTAGGCCTGGTCATGGAGATTGCGCGCACCTCCATGATCCACGCCCGCGCGCCCCATTTTCTGTGGCCCTACGCGGCTCGGTACGCCGCTCACCAGCTGAACCTCTGGCCTCGCGTCTCGCGGCCAGGGGCTTCACCGACCAGTCTTTGGACAGGGTCCCCTGGTGTTGCGTCGAGGTTTAGTGTCTGGGGCTGCTTGGCACTTGTCCGCGACACCTCTGCGGACAAGCTCTCACCTCGCGGCGTCCCCTGTGTCTTCCTTGGTTTCCCTGAGGCCTCCTCTGACTTCACCTTTTACCACCCTCCCTCCCACCGGTTCTTTGACTCTCGTGACGTCAGTTTCGACGAGCCCGTCCCCTACTTCGTCCGGTACCCCTGTCGAGGTCTCCCGGTTCCCCCCCCTCCCCTCTTCCTCGCCCCAGCTCCTGCTCCTCCCGCTCCCTCTCCTCCGGTACCCCCCCCGGTTCCCGCTCCGTCAGGTGTGTCGCAGGCTACCCCCCCTCCCTTGGTCCCCCCCCAGGTCTCTCCCCCTTCCCCACAGTCGTCCTCACAGCCTCCGCAGCAGCCGTCGGCGCTTCCTCTCCCGGCCACTGCGGACTCTGAGGGTGTTGGTGCTCGAGGTGAGGGCTCTGGCGGTGCTGGTTCTGGGGGTGTTGGAGTTGGAGCTGAGCGTGCACCTGCCGCAGCTGCACGTCCCGAGCGTGTTGGAGTCGGTGGTGGTGCTGGAGCTGGTGGTGTTTCTGGAGCTGGAGAGTCTGGGGCTGGTGCTGGTGCCACTGGCGGCGCCACGACTGGGGGTGCGGGTACACCTCCTACAGGTACTGGTCGTGCTGCCGCAGGGGGTCCTCGCTCTGGGGGTGCTCAGCCGGGTCCTGTCGAGGGTGGAGCCGGTTCTTCTTCGTCCTCTCCTGACACCACTCCTCCTCCTCACCCCTACCCGACTCGTTACCAGGCCCTTCGTCGTCTAGAGCGTGAGGAGCAGCAGCGTTTGGAGCGTGAGAGGTCGGAGGTTCAGCAGCGGGTGGAGCGTGAGCGGTTGGAGTTTCAGCAGCAGCAGCAGCACCAGCAGCAGCAGCCGCAGCCACAGCCACAGCAGCAGCAGCAGCAGCAGCAGCAGCCGCCGCAGCTGCCGGAGCAGCCTCCGGCCCCTGTTTCTGGCCTTCGGGCCCTTGGTCTCCCCTCCTCTCCTCCTGTGTTCGGTCCCACGTTTCCTCCTCCGGACTCCACTCCGACTGTCTTCCCTCGTTCTCAGTCTCCTCCGTCCCCCCCTCCTCTCGCCCACACTTGGGCCTCTCGCCCTCCTCGTGCTCGTCCCTCGTCCCCTGTCACTGACCTCCGTACCGTGTTGTTTCGTCCTCGTCCTCCTCGTTCTCCTCCGTCTGTCCTTCCTCGTCCTCCTGAGTCTTCCCTCACTGCCTCCCTGTCCACTCCGGTCACTGACTACTACCGCACGTACCGCCCCACTCTCTCTCGTGTTCTCACCTCTCTTGTTACAAACCCTCGTGCCTCTCCTTCCTCCGTCGCGGTCCTCACTGCCGCTGTCACTGACTTTACTGCTACGCGTCGCCTTGACTACGCCACTCGAGTTGTGGCAGCTCCTCCTGTCCGTCCTCTGTCCGCCGGGGGTGTGTGTGCCCTTGGCTGTGACGTCCTAGAGGACAGACAGTTTGAGCTAGAGTTCCTGGCAGCTGCTTCGCCTCATCTCTGTGCCATGCTGCTCACTCCTGAGGGAGACCCCGACGCTCCTGACATACCTACTCCTCGCACTTACGCTGAGGCAGTGTCAGGGCCTTGGGCCTCTCAGTGGAGAGCTGCCATGGACGCATAGATGGCCTCCTACAGGTCCACAGGCACTTACGTTGACGAGGTTCCCCCCCCAGGGGCGAACATTGTTGACGGCATGTGGATCTTCAAGGTGAAGCGGCCGCCGGGATCTCCCCCAGTCTTCAAGGCACGCTACGTGGCTAGAGGGTTCAGTCAGCGCGAGGGGGTTGACTTCTTTCAGACCTTCGCGCCCACCTCGAAGATGACCACTCTTCGGGTGTTACTGCACGTAGCAGCGCAGAGAGACTACGAGCTACACTCTCTTGACTTCTCCACTGCCTTCCTCCAGGGCTGCTTACACGAGGAGATCTGGCTGCGTCGTCCTCCGGGCTTCACTGGCACTTTCCCGCCTGGGACCCAGTGGAGCCTCAGACGACCGGTCTACGGTCTCCGCCAGGCACCCCGTGAGTGGCACGACACTCTCCGCTCTACTCTCTCCGACCTCGGGTTTGAGCCGTCTTCCGCCGACCCGTCGCTGTTTGTTCGTCGTGGCCGTACACCTTTCTTCGTCCTAGTCTATGTTGACGACTTGGTTTTTGCCACGGCCGACACAGCTGCAGTGGCGGAGGTGAAGTCCGAACTGCAAAAGAGACACACCTGCACTGACCTTGGGGAACTGCGCCGCTACCTTGGCCTGCAGATCTCCAGGGACAGAGCCGCTCGCACCATCACTCTCACTCAGTCACACATGGTGCAGCAGGTTCTTCAGCGGTTCGGGCTTCAGGACTCTTCTCCTGCCCCCACTCCTCTTGCTGTAGACCACAGACTCACTGGGCCTTTTCCTGACGAGCCGTTCGAGCCCAGTGGTCCCTACGCAGAGCTGGTGGGCTGCCTCATGTACCTGATGACGTGCACTCGCCCGGACCTCGCCTTCCCCCTTAGCATCCTGTCTCGCTTTGTTGCGACTGGGAGACACCGTCCTGTTCACTGGGCGGCGGCTAAGAGGGTGGCGAAGTACCTTGGCGCGACATCAGTCATGGGGCTTGTACTTGGAGGGACACAGCCAGTTGTACTCACCGGTCACTGTGACTCTTCCTACGCTGACGACGTTGAGACTCAGAGGTCTACGCAGGGTTACTGTTTCAGCCTGGGTTCTGGAGCTGTTTCGTGGAGGTCTACTCGGTCCTCCTCTGTTGCGACTTCTACCGCAGAGGCCGAGATCTACGCTGGGGCCCTTGCTGCTCAGGAGCTACGCTGGTTGATCTTTTTGCTCACTGACCTTGGTGAGAGGCCGAGCTCTGCACCGACCCTGTTTGCTGACAACAGGGCGATGATTCTCCTGTGTCGTGAGCCTCGACTGGAGAGCCGAGTGAAGCACATCGACGTCAGGTACTTCCTCCTTCGAGAGTTGCAGAGACGCGGACAGGCTCGTCTGGACTTTGTGGCCTCCGAGGCCAACACTGCAGACATCTTCACCAAGGCCCTCCAGCCTTGTGACCACCGTCGGTTTTGTCTGCAGTTAGGCCTCGTTGAGACTGGGTCTAGTTGACTGCTGTAGGGTGCTCTTTGTCTGTTGCTTGCTTGTACCTTATATATATATATATTTGTTTGCACACTTTTGGACTGGCCTTGTGGCCCTTAGCTTGTGCTCAGATTAGGTGGTGACGTTGTGATCCACCCTGAGCTTTGTTTTCTTTCTCTTGTTTTTGACTGGTCTTGTGACCGTAGGTTGCTTGTTGTTGATTGGCCTTCCCCACTTAGGCTATGGGGGTGTGTCAAATATTATAGCCTGTAGTGGGTTGGGCTATATGGGGTACAACTAGTTATGGTTAGGTGATGTACCCCAATCCTGTCAACACAACGCATTCCGCTGTAGTTCTCATTCTGACATGTATGTACCATTCGAAAGACGGGTCGGTCACGGCACTGACATGTAGGTAAGTCTGAACGAGTGGCTTAATTTTAATAATAAAGTTATATAAAGCTAGAGAAAAGGGGAAAGAGAATGCAAGATTAATACTGAAGCCACGAATAACTCTTAAGATTCTCCGTGCCGTGATTCTTACTCAAAAG